GTTACATCTCATATTCAAAGCAACTCATTAGGATTTGAAATATATACACCCTTCATCCAGCAATTGCACTCCTGGGGATCTCTCCCATGGAGATGAAAGTATCGATATATAAGCACATACGGACAAGGTTGTCTAGTGAATAACTGTTCATGGTTGCCAAGAACCAAAACAAAGTGAATAACCATCCACAGGGAAGTGGCTTGATCCACACCCATTCACTTAAAAGAATGAATTAGAGCTACTCCTGGTGACCTGGAGGAGTTTGCACGAAGTGTTACTGAGTTGGAAAAGATATAGAAGTCTACATGATAAGACCCAGATTTTTTTAAATGATTTTATCAAAGCTTGGATCTGTATGTATGTATTAAAGGGTTGTATGAGCACAGAAACATGTGGAAATACACACACTAAGTCACTGGTCCTCCAACTGTAGTGTACGTCAGAATTACCTGAAGGTTGTGTGAACACGCAGGTGGCGGGGCCCCGTCGCCCAAGTGACTCAGTAGGTCTGGGGTGAGGTCTGAGAATCTGCATTTCCAACATGCTCCCAGGGGACACTGATGCTGCCGAGAACACCTGCGCTAAGTTTCAACACTAGTTACCAGGGAGGAGGGGAACGGAGGACCGAAATGAGGGGAGGACTAACGGGGTTGGCCCAAGACAAAAGCAGCCTGTCCCGATGATTCCTTTTAGGGAACCCCGTGCATCTGTGTGTACGTTTGCAGAAACAAACTCCTGAAAGGACTCTCACCAAATACTAATGAAAGTTCTTCCAAAGGTCGGATTTCAAGTGATCTTTGATAACTCTACTCATATGTTTTATGATGAATATTCTTTAAATAATCACCTAAAATAAAGCTATTTTTGAGGAAAAAAGGGGGGAAAAAAACCTTTGGAACCAACAGTTTCTCCAGGAACAGCTCATCTGTTTTTTCCTAGCACTGAACTGATATTTTGGGAAAACCAACACTGATTACACTTTACATAAAAGTAAGAACATCCTGTGAAAAAGGAAGTTCTGGAGGAATAAGTAAATATGTATAATGTATTTGTTTTACAACCTTCCTTAATCCACAGAAATTGAGAAAACTCAATTTAAAAAGTCATCAGAAAACATTCAACAGCAAAAACATACAACCTGGCTTGTGAATGCAAAATCTCTTCCTCTTTCAAAATTCAAACACTCAGTAAGCAAAAATCTTTCCTTTTAAGCTATACTTGCATCATTTCCTATCTCTTTTTACATATAAACTAGAAAATAAAAATAAGACTAGAAGCAATAAACACAAAAATAACTTTATGACTTCCCATATAGGCCTTTCAAGCTCCCAAAAAGTGTCAAAGAGTTTTAAGCTAGAAAATAAACATTTGAGGTCACTTATACTAATTCTAACTCACACTCTTCCGAGCTTTCACACTGTTCATTAGATTCAACACTACAACCCCTTGCAATCCGAAAACACCCCTCCTCCTAAAACCATGTTACCATTCACTCTAAAATTAAGCCTAGATTTCAAACCAGATTGTTTCCAATATAAAAACAGCAGAGGCATGCAAACACCGGGGCTTCCAGAGCCTGCCCTTCGTGCGCTGAAAGACAGAAGCAGGAAGCCACTAGGAGGCTGAAAACTGGACTTGCAAGCTCGCGTCCCCCAGGCCTGCAGACGTATATCCTAAAACCCTGGGCTACCGTCCTCCCACCCCTGCATCTCCCCTAATCTGAGTTTGGGGGAGGGTCTCTCTTTTCCTGAAACAGCAACTCAGAGGACCTCCAGAGTTCATTTTAAAAATTAGAATGAGTTTTCAGCTTAGTTCAGGAATATTCCTGCATCCCCAATACTAAGATAGAGTCTCTTTTCTAAAGATAAACGACTGTTTGCACACACACACAAAAAAAAGTGAGAAAGAAAATGTTTGCCAAAAAGATAGGGGAAAAAAAAGCCAAAAAATTCTACAGCATAACAGAATCAGAGACTGCAACTCTCTCTGAAACAGATTCCTGGGAAATAGGGAAAATAATTTTAAGTTCTTGCTTTGTGCTCACATGAAAGTTTTCTTCACGGATCCAAACAAAATGCATGGGAAGAAGAAAACAAAGTGGACTTACACGCGTAGATTTTCTATAGGTATAGAGACATCTCTATCATCTTTCGGAAGGATTCTCCACAGTGACCCCAAAACACACAGATGTTTTAACGATAAGAATTCGGTCAAAACAGGTTATAATCAAAGGAACAAAAGTCACCTGCAGGATCCATCTGACCAAGGTGCCCTTTTGTGAAGGGTGGGTAGAAGTTGGGGAATAATTTCTACCAATTTTTCCCCCATGATTATCACTCCATTTATGTGATCTAATTCTCCTTGAGGTTAAAAAAGGTAACTTATGAGATTTAAGTCTGTCTTAATGATATTTTTTCCAGTGTATTAGCATAAAATTGTATTTAGTTTTGGTTTTTTTAAAAATAATTTTAAGATATCCTCTCAAATGTTACGGACTCTTTACAATTTCTAGTTTTGTTTGGGTTTTATCTTATATACTTGCCAGAACTTTATTGTTTTTCCAAAAGAACCAGTCATAACAACAGGAGAAGTACAAAAAAGCTTCCAAATTAAGAGATCCAATATAACACATCACAGTCAAATGATATGTTAGTGAAAACAAATCTAAATAAATGCTAAAACAACCTTCAATAAAATTCAACACAAAAATAGACAAAACTCTGGAAAAACATACCAAAATGTCACCAGTGCTTACCATTGATGAGGAGATTAAACAGGAGATTTTTTTGCTTATTTCTAATTTTTTTTACAATATATATGAAATAATTATAAATTAAAAAGTATCAAGGGTTTATAATCCAGATTGTAGTAAGGCAGGAGAAACTAGAAGTGAGTATTTATCAAACCTCTGAAGACAGAAAGACAGAAGGCTCGGCCAAGACACAGAAACAAGTCGGAGCAGAGTTGCGTCTGCTCATTTGGCGGAATTGGGTTAAGACTTCTTTTCATTACAGTACACCCCTCTGAACTCTTACTGCAAGCGTCCAAATGGTCAGATTGACTTAGGTCAGTTTGCAATAATATTGACACAAAATGTTAAGTGAAAAAAAGCAGGTTACAACCCATATACAGCAAGAATCGATTATGTTAAATGTACATAATATAACTCATCTAAAATACCATCAGTTATAATATGCATTTTATATTCCACTAAAATTAAAAATGCCAATTACAACATAATGTTAGGATTTTATTTTTTACTGATGAAAAGAGCTCTTCTAAATTTATACAGATTTTATCATGTATTATGCTGTGGTTTCCACATCTTTCTGGGTACACAGTAACTTTGCCTTTTAATGCCAAATCATGTTGAAATCATTTTGAAAGCAATTAATTCACATAGCAGCAGCAAGGCACATAAGTAATCGGAAGTGACAAGAAAATGAACCATTGTGCCCAAGGTCACACGCATAGGTAACAGCTACATCATGACACCTGCCAAAATGCACAGTGAATGTAAGAGCATCTCAATTTCAGAGACGTTAAAATGAGAAAAACTGCACCTTAGAATTGATAAATACATTTTAACATAGCATCTATAGGGGATAAGATTATGAGGGTCACTTTAACACTTTCTGTAATTTTCATTTTATTCTATTAGTACATATTATTGATAATTAGAAAAATGTTTTGCTTTTGTTTGCTCTAAGCTTCCTCTCTTTAGGTAGCGTGTATCGACTCCTTCCCAGTGTGGCTCTAATCCACTGGCATGAGTGCAGAATAGCCAGACCAGGGGGTTCTGTAACATGATCAGGTTTGTGGATTTGTTTGTTCTGAAGTAGGGAGCAGGGTGGAATGAATATAGCTAAGGAGGAAGAAGGTACAAGAAAACAACAGACTTGGGAGTACTTCACAGCTAGCCTTGGGTCAGCCCTTATCTCTACTTATGGCTGGGCCAAGCCCAACTGTCTACCGACAGTTTATGACCCGGAAGTCACAACCTACAGAGAGTACTAGAGACCACTGGGTACCCCAGGAGGCAGCTTTTTTTAAATTTTGAAATCCATTTATTCTATCATTTTGTCTTCCTCCAGGGAACAGAGCAGAGTGTGTGTAGGGCAGGGAGGAGGCCACTCGAGTAGTGGAGAGCAGGAAGGGGAAGTGGGTGAATGTATTTTGATTGACTGAGGATTCCAGTTAAATTTGTCCACTTCCTTGATAGTCCATCGTATTAATAGCTTGTTCTTTAAGGATAAGTTTGCACTGAGGTCACATCCTATCCTAGATGTGGTTCTCTTGCTGAACTCCATGAGGTGATGATTCGGAAGCCACCTGAAACCGTGGTTCACACACACACCCGGGCCCACCCCCCACCAATACAGTCAGGTTCCAAGGAAGGAGGTTTTGCCTGAAACAAGGAAGGAAGAGAAAGCCATCTGCCACTTTATATGTGAGGAGACAGTCAGTTCGCTTCCCTGTTACACCCAGCAACTGTTCTCAAGAACACATCCTCCCTCAACCCACAAGGCATGTCTGACTCGGCATCTCCTCGGGCACCTCTGTTCCCCAGGCTCCCACCTACTCTTTACGCATCCCGGCACTTGTCCCTTTGAATTCCTATTTCACAATCTTAGCTGACACAACTGTCATGAAACCTTCCCCCAAAAAAGACATGCAGAAACATTCTTGGCTGTTATCCGGATATTATCATAAAAGATGTTCAGAAATCATCCACATGAAGGAACTGAGTATTTCTGAGTCTAGAAGTTATACCGTTAAAAAAAGTTACTCGGAGAAATAGAATTAAGACTCAGACTTCGGAGCCAACCAGTTTTAAAAGGCTCCACGCAAATACTTCAACTAGACAGTAATGCTCAGTGTGTTGTTTTTAAAAAGCCTCAACTCAATAGTGAGGAAAACATTTCTCCCCACTTCAGTCACATGGGTTTCGAGTCAAGAAAGGGCCACTTTGACCAAAAGCCCAGTGCTTAGGAACTTACGTAAAGAGGTACTTCACTGCAGCTCAACTCCATGGTGTCTGCATCTGCAATGAAAAGAATAAATGCGAGCCGTTAGTGCAGGAAGCCCCGCGTAACCAGCCAGCAGAGCTGTGTCCTGCCCTTCAGCCATCAACACTGTCGAGGGAGCAGTAACTCATTAGATAGAAAAATGGTCATAAAAGATATATACAAGAATGATATAATACAAGAATGAGATGCTATCCGAATAAAATATCCTCCCTTTCTTCTTTCCCGTGAATTCCCACACAAGGAAAACCTGTCACTCCAGACATTATCACACTGATTGCTCCCAGATAGAAATTACATTTCAGAAAGCCAGAAAAGGTCAACAGAAGCATGTTGAAAGCATCATGTTAGTTAATAACTTGGATCATAGGCTACTCTGAGGTCAGAATCCACTTTTGGCCAGACAAGGCAGAAGCGCACAGGGACAACACAGTTCTGTTGCCTGTCTTAGAGAGCGCCAGGGATTTCAGTTTTGGGGGATTCAGGCCACTGTCACACTAACCAGTGTCTCCACCAGTTGCATGCACCCTATCTCCCTCTAGGTGTGCCTGCCCCTTTAAATCCCACACCCAGAAAACAGCTTCCAGCTCAGGAAAAAAAAGGAGCCAGCATCATTCAAAAGGGGTTCATTGAAGGGAGTCAAAAGGCACAAACTTCCAGTTATAAAATAAGTCCTGGGGATGTAACGTACACATGGTGGCTATAGTTAATAATACTGTATTGCATTTTTTAAAGTTGCTAAGAGAATAGATCTTAAAAGTTCTCATCACAAGGAAAAAAAATCTGTAACTATGTATGGGGACAGATGTTAACTAGCCTTATTGCAATCATTTTGCAGCATACACAAGTATCGAAATATGTTGTACACCTGAAACTAACACGTTGTATGTCAATTATACCTCAATAATAAAGCCATTGAACACTGCAGTGGGCCAGGCATTACACAGAGTGACCAGGAAGTGGTCCAGCACTCGCAGAGCTCACAGCTGAATGACCGAGACCTAAGGATGGGGAGGCAGGGCAGAGCAGGCTGCGTGAGCCTTCTGAGCGGGGCCGACCGGGAGACTCACCACCCCTCGCCTTCCCCTCACCCCTGCATTCTCTGGGGCAGGTCCTGCTCACCTGGCGCTGGTACCTGGGCCACAGCACAACTGTAGGACTTTGGGAACTCCTCTTAAGGCAGGCACATGCCAGTGGCAACCTGCATGGTGACACTGAGTATAGTAATCCCCAAGGGATATGCTTGGCCAGGAGGAAATATAAGAAGTTCTATCTTTATTTATTTTTTACAAGGGCATTTAACTTAAGTTTTACTGGTACTTCATACCCATGCTGGCCCTGGCACCCTCCTAGGTCACAAGGTACCCTGAGAAAAGACCAAGGGTCCCACAAGGCCGAGGGGTTGACACAGGGCTGTTTCTCCACCCTCATTTTCAACACATTGTGCTCCGTGGCAGTTTACATGCATCTGCTTAAATGGGCTTATGGATTATAAGCACTTTTTAATGAAATGTGGTTAATTTTCCAGAAAGAAGATCTTCAAATATGGTCAAATCTTCACAATTTCTGTCGTGAGACTGGAAATAACCATAAAAATCTTTACCACATTGAGGTGTTGGTTATCCTGCAAAATACTTTTTGTTGTTGTTGTGAGGAAGATTGGCCCTGAGCTAACATGTGTGCCAATCTTCCTCTATTTTGTACCTGGGATGCCACCACTGGGTGGCTTTATGAGTACTGTGCAAGTCCACGCCCAGGATCCAAACCTGCAAATCCCGGGCCTCGGAAGTGGAGCGGGTGAACTTAACCACTATGCTACCTGGCTGGCCCCTGCAGCAAAGTACTTCAAAAAGTTGTCTAACTTAAACACGTACTATCTAATTTTCTTACAAAAATAAGTGTTCCAAATTTGATTTTTCTGAGATGCAAAGTGGCTGTTTGTAGCAGATGTTTTTTTAAAAAACATTTTTTCAAATAAATATTCTATCCCGTCAAAAAAGGGGTGATATTTTAATAAGTGAAAAAGAAAATGCATCTCAGAAGAAACTTAGGTTGTACAGCATATGCCATAGTAAGAACATTTTGAAGAAGTATTTGTACTTTTCTGTTGTCTTCTGATTTTGTTGCAGAAATTATTTAAAGTTTGCCACCTACAACAGTCCTCATGTCTGTATGCTTTAAATTTTTTAAAAAAGCTTTCTAATCCATTTTTTAAATCTTTCAAAACGAATGTCTCATGAGTTTTGTATTTTTAAAATGCAACAACTTCTGATTGATTTGCGGGAAGAATGATCGACACCAGGGAAGATGGGAATTACTAGCCACATTTAAACAAGAAACTTTTGTATAATTGGTGGACAGGATTAAAACATAAATCCCTCTGTAAGTGCAGCCAGCATAGCACTCCTACGATTAGAATCTATTTATCACAGTGAGGCATCTTTTTCAACTATGATACACTTTAAAACCAATTTCAAAGGAAACAGTACTTCGAACCAGACATTCAAGCTGGAGTATCACAAAGTACTAAAATCATCAATACAAGGTTTTCAAAATAATGACACATTCATCACATTACTCTCCCTGACATGATCTGATTTATAAATAGATGCATAAAGTAAAGATGCATGCTAACGTTTTTACTGGAGTCCATGACCACGTCTTGAAAATCTGCCCCAAGAAGGTGGCCTTTCCCCTGTCAGGCTGCAGGTGCTTCCCGGAGCAACTTTCCTCCAGGCTTAGCAGACTAAGGGCAGCCATGGAAGGGGCGTGATGAGAATTTCCTAGCTGAGTTGTAGAGAGAATAACTGGGGCAAATATATGATACACCCAATAAAATAGTCAAACTTCAAACTGAATTAGATACAAAAAACTATATTCTCATGTGGATTTTTCCAAAAGTGACTCCTCCGACAGTAAGGAGCTGACAGCTCTGTGCTCCCTGCAGAGCTGCATGGCCAACCCATGCTGGCCTCTTTCACGTCAAGTTCAATAAAGCGAGTTTGCATTCGCTCGGCGAGTTACAGCTGCCCAAGTTCTTCACACGTGGTAGCTTTCACTGTAGAAATGTCATGCTCCACACTTCATTTCCTAACGCTTGAGTTCTCCACTGGCAATTTCAAAAATTCAGACTTCAGGGGGTTTTGGGGGTTTTTGTGTTTTTTTTTTTAAGTGCTGCATTTTTCAAAAATGTTTCTTGGGAAAGTAAAAGCCAAAATATTTCCAGCCTTGCTGACAGACACAAGGGAATGATTTGGGGTCATAGTACACAGCCACAATTTTCAAGTTTGCTTCTGAAAAGGGAAAAAAATCTTATGCAAGAACGTCAAGATACAAAAGATTCAATATTTTAGACATATTGGAAGATTATGTATTATTTCTAATATTTCTGATTGCCAGTTAACTCTAAAGAAAAATATTAGACCATTTTGAACAGGTAAAAAGAATACTTTAAAAAGAAAGAAAATATAACAATTAACTTATACAGGAAAAAATCAGTTCTTGACTTTATGAAATTCTGGGTTTCTCATGTTTTTGCTTCTAAGTGAAATATTCTTTGACTGATTCAATATGAAACCCATGACTTTAATTTTGTATTTGAGCATGCTAAAAATCATTGGCTTGTATGCCTCATAAAACCTGCTAACAGATAATGCGCAGGTCTTTATCAATACTCTCAGCAGCTACACTGGAAGGCTCACGACGTGTCAGCACTGTGCTAAGTACCTTACAAAGGTCGTGTCAAAGCGCGCTCACGGCAGCCTCGAGAGGAACGTGTAAGTCACCCAACTGCACAGGTCCCCACGGTTACAAGGTTACACTGAAGCAAAAGTGACCTAACATAAAAATATTTTTAAGTGAACTCACCACCTATAAAATTACAAGTAACTCCCCCCATTCGCTCTCCACCCCACCCCACCCCTACTTAATGCTGGCATCTATTCTCCAGCCAGTCCATCTTGTACATCAATAGATTTTTTTGTAGTTGTTTGTTTTGGTCTTGGCGTGTTTACTAGATGTTATAAATAAAAATCAATTTAATTTTTTGTTGGAAAATTTTGTTTTGAAGTTTTTTTAAAAACATGAAATAAGGTTAAATAAAGTTGAGAAAAGTATTGAGTATTGGAGAACTTAAATCATGAAACTATCAATCAGTGAGAACATGGCAGAGATCCATTAACAACTGAAAAAGAAAACTCATAATGAGATAAAGGCTTAAAGATAGTTTCAGTATTAAGGGAATTAGAGGAACTTTTCCTCCCTACCCTATGAGAAAGTGGAAAAATTCTTGAGTATTTCTGATAAAAAGGACCCTCCTAATATAGGACTTTGAAAGTCAAATGTGATAGCATGGACGTCCTACTGTGCAATTAATTCTGTCAGAAACATAGTCATGACCCACCCCCGATTAACCTCTCACGCACACACAGCTGATTCTCTCTGAGAGTGAGCACAGAGGTTAAAAGTCTCATCAGGTCACACCAGACACGGCAGAGCTGCATTCAAGCAGCAGCGGGCTCCAGAGCTGTGCCCGAACCACGATGCTCTGGGGCTTGTCACCAAGGAAATAGGAAACAGAACTCTTGTCCTAATTTTGGTTTCATTTTCAAAAAAAATAGAACTCCAAGCAAGTCTTTTTTCTACTGCTGTTTCCTCTGAAATCTTGGTCCCCATTTTAAGGAGCTTCACTTGAGGGGGCTTCCCTGACACCTGCTCCCCTCAGACAAACGCTGTCTCCACTTCACACACAAGGAGAGAAAAGCGCAGCAAAGTCGTGCCCTTGACTGAGGTGCAGCAGCTAGAGGTGGTCGGGCCACGTGGGAATGCAGCCTGTCTGACCCGGAGCCTGTGCTCACCTCAGCACGAAAGCACGAGGTCCTTTTGCAATGAAAATATGTCCTGAGAGACAGCGAGTGGCTGGGCTAAAGGGCAGCACACAGCCCACCACGAGGAGCACAGGCTGGGGAGCAGGCCGTGCGTGGACACAGCTGTGCGCGTTCTCACCGTGTGACTCCGG